GCCACAAGTCAGTGGGGGCTGGGACCAGAAAACATGGAGGAATGCACACTAGGAACAATTCTTCTCTTGTCAAGCTGCAAGTCAGCACCAACTATGAGTGGCTTCCTGGTGACTGCTGGGGCTTCATGGACCTCTAGGAAAGGATTCTGCACGCAGAATGGTCCAGTGGTCTCAGCCTGTAGCCCTAGGGGCCAAGAAGGGATTCCTGTTGAACAAGTCTGAGAGGCAAATGAAATGGGAGCTCCTCTGCTGAGCTTGTCCAGATTTTTGAGTTTCGGGTGACTCGGTGATTTCTACATGTGCATGTGCTTATGAAGGAGATCAACAGTCCTCCCCCAACTCCCACCCACTAAACCCAACACCCCCACCCATGCTACCCGGCCACTCTCAGCTTGTTCTTCTGGAAATTACCTTCATGTAGTAAGTTTATATCACTATTTCTGATTCACCCATCTTAGATGTTATCTAGTGACTTTTTGTTACAATAGATGAAGATTTATTTCTCTTTAAAATTCCTCTTCCCCTCTCTCCATGCTCTCAATATAGCTAGTTGACAATGCAGGATAAATATTTATTCATCTCTTCAGATATTTATTGAGTATCTAATTATATGCCAGACCCTGGGGATAAAGTAGTGAATGCACAAATAAAACTTGAACAAATGATAAACAATCTGATATATATAGGTAGTGATAAAAACAATGAAGAAAACTGAAGGGAGGTATGATGATAGATAGTGACAGGGGTGCTTTTTTACAGGGTCTTTCTGAAAAGTGATACTTGAGTAGGGAACCAAAAGAAGTAAATGATTGAGGGAAGGAGATATATAGACATATAATGTCAAAGAAAGAAATAATTCATGACACTTGCTAAAGACAATAAGACAGACTTTATTTAGCGGGGGAGGGACTATCATGATAGGTTTAGGGACCACCGCCAAGGGTTCTCATAGTTCGGGAAAGACACTGGGCTCTACTCCAAATACAAAAGTACCGAGTGGGAATTTATTGCCAAGAAGCAGGGTGAGGATCAGTGGATGGAAAATTACTACAACAAAACATCAGGAGTAAGGGAGATTCTATCTAGACAGACCCAACAGAATTCTTGCTGAAGGAGACCTAGATGATGAGATAACCAGGTGATCAGATACCAAGGGTATGTCCAAGAGGCAATAGCCTCAAAGATCTGAGGGAGGCCAGAGGCTGACAGCCAGCAAGAAAATAGGGAGTTAGTCCTACAACTGTAAGGGAATAATTCTGCCCCAAACCTGAATGAGTGTGGAAGTGAATTCTTCTCCAGTCTCTAGGTGGGAGCCCAGCCCTGTTCAACATCTTGATTTTGGCTTCATGAGTCCCTATGTGTAGAAGCCCTAGATTGGTGACCTACAGAGCTGGGAGATAAGTGGGTATTGTTTTAAGCTGCTAGGTTTGTGGTAAGTTTGTCACACAGCAACGGAAAACTAATACATCCCCACTACCTTGAATCCACATGGGTGTGATGCCTGAGCTTTGGGCAGCCATCTTGTGACCAAACAGTAAGAACTAGAGAAAAGGCAAAAGAATGTCAGAAACTTGGCTGTAACACGCAAGCCTCTGACCCAGTGTCAGTGATTGCCTACCTTCAGACTTACGTGAGAAAACAAACCCCTGTTCTTTAAGCCACAGCAGGCTGGTATCCCTCTATTTGAAGAAAGCACTTCTCACTAATACAAAAAGTCACTTTTTTTTTTTTTTTGAGACTTTGGTTTTCTGCTTTATTCTCTTCTCAAATGAAACTGAGTAAAGAAATTTGAGTTGAAAATTATTTTGTTCTTTTTAAGTCGTTCTCTATTTTTTTCTACTTTCCTGTGTTGCTTTTGAGAAGTGTGATGTTGTTACTTTTTCCTGATCCTTTCCATAGATACTGTTTTTCTCTCTATAAACTTTTCTTCTCTTTTAAAAGATGACTGGTAAGGGGATCTTAACCTTTGACTTGGTGTTGTCAGCACCACGCTCTCCCAAGTGAGCTAACCAGCCATCCCTATATTGGGATCCGAACCTGTGGCCTTGGTGTTATCAGCACCGCGCTCTTCTAAGTGAGCCACAGGCCGGCCCTTCTCTATAAACTTTTCTTCTCTTTTAAAAGATGACTGGTAAGGGGATCTTAACCTTTGACTTGGTGTTGTCAGCACCACGCTCTCCCAAGTGAGCTAACCAACCATCCCTATATTGGGATCCGAACCTGTGGCCTTGGTGTTATCAGCACCGCACCTTTGACTTGGTGTTGTCAGCACCACGCTCTCCCAAGTGAGCTAACCAGCCATCCCTATATTGGGATCCGAACCTGTGGCCTTGGTGTTATCAGCACCGCACTCTTCTAAGTGAGCCACAGGCCGGCCCTTCTCTATAAACTTTTAGGATATTCTCTTTATCCCTAGCAGTTGGAAATTATATCACTAAGAATATAATATATAAAGATTTTCATCTACTCCTGGTGCTGACTCTGTGGCCACTACAGTACATCTTTCTGTTTGTTTGTTTTGCCTTCTTTCACTTTAGAAGCTTTTCTAAAATGTTTAGTGATCCTTGGCTATGTGTTCACATTCTATATAATGACTCTAAAATAGCCACCGGAAACCCCGTGTGCATGGAGGGACTTGTCAATAAGTGAAGCTTCACTTTAGGGTAATAGGCACAGAATGGGCAGACAACTCCATCAAAGTCTGTAGGATCTTTCTTCTGGAACCACTCAATCTCTCCAGAGAGGGATGTGCTGATCTCTTGCCTAGTTAGGAAGGAGTTGGTAGAGGTTGCCTGCCAGTATTCAAGAAGTTGGGAAGAGAAGGGAACTGATATCACCACTCAGTATTCAGCCTTCTACTTAATCCTTAAAGTTTCTGTATGACATCTCATCTCTATCCCCTAGCCCTGTACCTAGTGCTCCCTGTTCTATGCCTCTCACCAAAGAATATACCTTCCTTCTCCTAAGGTGGTGGTGGGGGGTCGTTATCTACATGTATAAAATGGGGGTAGCTGGTGGTTGGATATCTGGGTCTAAACTTAAAAGGGATCTGAGGGTCTGTCTTTCTCCTATATAGATTGTTAGGCAGTATTTTTGTTTGCAGCAACCCACACCTTCTTCTGGTAGTTACCCATTTGAGTTTGTCATCTATTTTCTGCCAGAATCACGATTGATACATGCCTACATGAAAAGACTATTTATATAAGTGGGCAGGGTTAAGGAAACAAAAAAGGAAAGTTGGGGCATACAGGTTTTAGAAAAAGCAGGAAATCATTATCATCCTTAGGCCTAGGGGCAGGGGAGGAAAACATGTTACCATAGCCTTGTTGAGAGCTGGTGCCATGGAAGAAAGGACACCCAACGGAAACTTTATCAACTGTGGCAGAGAAGGAATAGGAAGAATAAACACTCCAATCTCTCTCTCTCCCTTCCTGTCCCTCTTTCTCCTCCCCTCCAATCTTGGCTAAACCCAATCTGAAGCCAAATCCAACCAGCAACCAGATGACGAATTCAATAGAAGTCAGCCTTTTTGGGATACAGATCATGGACAAGAAAGGCTGATTTAGAGAACCAAACAGAAAATAACCAGCCAATCACACCTCACTATCAAGAATATGTTCTAAAAAGAGTAGGTATCTTTTAAACTTTATTTCAAAGAGTATATGTTATTTTGGTAATACTTTTTTTTAAAGGTAGGGCAGATGGCCCCAACACACCACCATGCACAGGTCCAATCTGAGAGCTCCTGAACCAGTTGATTTCTTCTAGTTATGGCTTTACAGTCAGTGGGACCCACTGGCCTGAAATAGTCCTGTTGCTACTTCTTTTGGCCACTCAAAATTTGTACCTGATGCTCTGTGAGATGGGAGGATAGGCTTGGGCATTCTGAAGTTCAGTGAAAGTTTGTCCCCCACCAACTGAGTGTAAGGTGTCCTTGTGTAGTTAATGTGCCAAGGAAAGATTTAAGAAGATAGGAATGGGATGTGACCAGAAAGCCATGTCAGAACACAGCAGGGCTATGAACCAGAGACCTTACGAGTCTCTCCCTCATCGCCATGTTGTATTCAAGTTGTCTGTATCTCCTCTGTTAGGATCACCCACTCATGGTGGGCTGTGTTCCTCCTGCCTCCTACGGGAAAAGAGAGGCTATGACCTTTGAGCTGTTGGTGAAATGACAATGTTTTCTGCAATGTTGGTTCTCAGAGATTTTTTTTTTTTTTGCTTTGTTAGACTTTCAAAAGCTAACTCAGAAATGTAGATACACAGCTAGCAGATGGTAGTATGTGCCAGTCACGTGGCAAAGCAATGAGTCATAAACCATAAAAATGACTAAGAAATTAGCTGCTTTTTCAAGCTTTCTTTTATATCAGAAACATCTCTTTATTAAAACTTTAACTATTGAAGAATCAGTCAAGCATATATTTATGGTAACATTTTTAAAATAAAAACTTCCTAAAAGCTTTACTGAATCTTACCTCTCCATTATCAACATATTCTAACTCTAGCCTTTTAGAAAGTCATTGATTATAAGTACTGCAATAATCCCAGAATATATATCAATTGCAGGATGCTTACAGAGTCACTCTGGAACCTTAGACTACCTCAGCCTCAAAGATCCTATAATTCTTCTCAGCTTTTGGCTAGGTTAACTCAGTTTTTGTAATCTACTTGCCCTCCTCTAGGTTGCTCAGTCCAATTACAGAGTAATAATAAAATTTTCTGTTTGGTACTTCCATTCAGTTAAAACAAAAATCATACTTAAGGAATATTTGTCTGGCAGTCATAAATAAGATGAATTACAGGTAGAAGAGACTGGCCAGAAGAGAATGACCATATAAGAGTTTTGTAATTGCTAGTGCAAGTGGGGAGGAGAGAAAACTAAAATTAATTCAGCACCTAGGCAATGGACTAGGCACTTAATTTATTTTCTTGACTACTCATGACAGCTCCATGAAGTGGGTGTAAACGGTATGTCACAACGAATCTCAATTCAGAGACATATAAGATAAGCCAGAATTTTTTACCTTAATTTGTAGCAACTTTGCTTTCTGAGTCCACAACCCACACAGATTGGGGACTGAGTTTGAGAGAGAACCTGACCTTACCAAATAAAGGTGACTTAATCCTTTTTGATTATTTTTGTGGCTCATTAGATATTTGTCATCTTCTAGTTTGAAGTTTATCCTGTCCAAAGTTAAAAATCTTCCACCCTCAATTTAGACTACAATTACTTAGCTATTGAAAACTACTCTCTCTCTCTCTCTCTCTCTCTTTCTCTCTCTCTCTTTCTCTCTCTCTCTCTATCTCTTATCTCCATTTTCTTGCCTTTCACCCATAGAGGAATTGGAGGGAGGACTGGTAGTGGACTGCTGATCACACAAGTGATGACACATTGATTTTCTAATGCCGTCTTTGTCAGGGAGACACATTCATTCCCCTTCATGTGCTTCTGGTGCTTCTGGCTGAGTGGGTCCCTCTGTGCAGTTCTTAATAATGTGAATCCTAAAGTCTTCCCTTCAATCCCAGAGGTAGTCTCTGTGTGTTTCATTAAATACCTCTGTCCTCCATGGTCTCTTGGGGTACTTAGTTGACCTCTCCCGACATCTGTACTATCTTCAGGTACCTGATCTAGGCCTACAGGAAACCTACGTGTCACACAACATTAGCCTCACTCCATAGAAAAGTAGTCTTTACCCCATTCTCTCTCACCTTCACCATCTCTCTTCTGTTCCTTCTCCATCCCAGGAGCATCAGGCCAGCCTGATGAGCCTCCCGGCTCTATGCACCATGAAGCTTCAGTTCAGCAATTTTCAGGTGAGTACTCTTCACTTGGAAACCCTTCAGATGCTGAGGCTTTATATGAAACTTATTCAGGCAAGAACACTTTAAGTGAGCACGGTTCAAGTGAGCACAGTTCAAGTCATCGTGCTATGGTTGAGCACACTGCGGGTGAGCACACTGCAGGTGAACAGTCTTCAGATGAAAAGCCTTCACGTGAGCATACTTTGGCTGAACAGCCTTCAGGTGAACAGCCTTCAGCTGAAAAGCCTTCAGGTGAACAGGCTCTGGGTGAACAGGCTCCGGGTGAACAGGCTCCGGGTGAACAGGCTCCGGGTGAACAGGCTCCGGGTGAACAGGCTTCGGGTGAACAGCCTTCGGGTGAAAAGCCTTCAGCTGAACAGGCTTCAGAAGGTGAAAAGGCTTCAGGAGAACAGGCTTTGGGTGAAAATCCTTCAGGTGAACAAACTTCAGTAGAACAGGCTTCAGGAGAAAAGTCTTCAGCAGAACAGGCTTCAGGAGAACAGCCTTCAATGGAACAGGCTTCGGGGGAACAGCCTTCAGGTGCACCATTTTCAAGCACATCTTCAGGTGAGTCACATTTGGATGAGTACCAGTCATTGACTTCAGGTGGGAAGTGGGGAACACATCAAAAAACCCCAATATTAGGGAAGGAATGTAGAAGAAAGAATTGTTAACACTTCATAAACAGCTTTCCCAAACACTCTCTAGGTCTCTTCACAATAATACCAAGAGACAGGTTCCAGGTTTTATGAGGCCCTGAAGGCTAAACAATTTGGAGGACCCTGTTTAAGAAAAACAACAACAAAAAAATGCTAGTAGCCCCTCCAACTCCACTCCCTGTAAGAAATTATAAATACAAATGCTGTGGCTCCCCTAGAAGGGGCTTATGGAAATGCAGCGTTCTGAAGATTAACCTTCATCAGCTGCATGCTAACCTGCCTCTTAACAAACTATGTTAGAATGTTATAACTTTTGCAAACCCTGTAAAGAGATGTCTAGCACTGTAGCTGGTGGTTATTTTGCTGAAAAATGGAATGTAAAATGTGCAAACACTTTTGTCTGTTAGAATCAGAAATAAGTTCCCAGGACAACTGCAATTCTGCGGCTCTCATTTAAAAGTGGTTGTTCAAGGAAAGAAAACAAGACCTAAAGTCTGATGCCTCAAGTTTTTACCAGATATGAATACTTCATATTTAACCCCATTGCATTAGTATTACTCTAAATTTTCAAATGAGGGAAGTGAGGCTAAAGTAATATGCCCAGTACCACACAGCTACAAAGTGGCAACCCTTGGATGCAAACTAGGTCTGTCCAAAGTCCATACTCTTACCATTTCTTTATGCTTCCCAAAATAGGGGATTAGCAGTAGAGATAGTGAAATAGGTGATACAGAAGCATTTCAGAGACTGTCATTAAAGACCTTTGATAAGGTCAATTTGAAAATGGAGACTGATGCAGACTCTTCACGAGGTTTGAGATGTTAGAGAATTCTAACATAGCTTATTAATCAGTCAAATTTGATTCCAAGTGTTTAGGCTTTTAAGTGACAGTATGATGGGGAGTACGAAAAAGTCAGTCACGTAATACTTTGCTCCTGCTGAGTCAGACATGACAGAAAGGCATCTAATTATAAATGTCCAAGAAGCCAATGGGGATATGGACTGCAGTAAAAGTCAATATTAGAGATATAAATCTGGGATTCATCAGCAGTGAAGGTCATACATGAAGCAGTGAGAATGAAGGGATTTCCTCTGGAAGAGCTCCATCAGACACAGAGCCTGCAGATCCCCAACAAGAACTAATAAATGAATGTGTTGTATCCAGGCTACTTACTGCCCATCATCCTTCCCCAGATGTGAGACTCAAGGCTACACACCTGATCCATAAGGGGATTTCATTAGGCTTATCTTAAATTTTCAGGCACAATATTAAATTGCCACACATGTGCTTATATGAATGATCAGGGAAAATGTCTTCGTGGAGAGGGAGTCTGCACCACTGAGAATTCCCAGCAATGCATGTTAAAGAAGATCTTTGAAGGTATGTGGGGATTTTATGAGGCAATCTTTTTGCCAGACAACACATCAACCAACTTAACTACTGATGGGGGGCAGTTGGGGTGGCAGGGGCCTTGGGAGGGATCAAGGAACTTGGAGATTCATTCCAGGATTTAGAGTAGAACCTCAGGTACTGATGGAGAGGTAGCTAAGTAATTCTAGTCTAAATTGAGGGTGGCAAAGGGAGGAATCAGAGATGACGGAGGTTTTGAAGAGGTGGTATAGAAAACATAAGGGAATCTCAGGAAAACAAGCAGATTTGGGGAGGAAAATAATGAGGTTCATTTGGGGCACAGTAAGTTTTAAGATTCCGTTAGCATGTCTGCATGGAGATGACCATGAGTTAGTTGGAAATGTGAGAATTCAACTTGGGAGAGCAGAGATAATTGGATTCAGGGCAGTAGACAAAGCAGTAGGGAAGACCTTATCAGAAGACAGTGTCAAGAAAGGGGGTGTAGTCAACAGCATGATGTGCATGCACTGAGGTCAAAGAAGAGTCCTGAGAAAAGCCTGCAGAATTTGATGTGTAGACCTCTAGCAACCTTTGAGAGGAAAGTTTCAGCACAGTGGGGTCATGATTCTGAGTGCTCGGGGCCAAGATATGAATGAGAAGGAAGTTAAGGTGGTGAGGATAAGCTAGCTCTCTGGAGAGGTTTGTGGGGAAAGGAAGGATAGTGGTAGGAGAGTAGCGTGGTCAACAGAAAACATTTTTGAGTTTAGGGTAAACTTGAGTCTGTTTGTAAACCAAAAAAGGAGCCAGTAGAGAGAAAGAGACTGAAAATATAAGAGAGGAGTGGCAACTGATGGGAGGAAGGTCCCAGAGGAGGCAGACAGAAGAGAAAGGGGAGGAAGAATATAAAAGTGGAGGTCTTAGCCATCCTTACATGGGAACATCGGGTAGCATGGATAAAGGCTAAGGTTGGAGGAAAAATCCTTCTGCTCACTATAGTCTGTCTCTGCTCCTTTCAGGTGGAAAACTCCAATTCATGGTTCAGGGGTGTGAGAACATGTGCCCATCTATGAACCTCTTTTCCCATGGAACCAGAATGCAAATTATCTGCTGTAAAAATCAACCTTTCTGCAACAATGTCTAGAAACCTGTGCCCTTGCTTCTTACTCTGGCTCAGGCAGCAAAAAATTTCCATCACCCTACTTGGCTCAATTTATATTTAGTTTCTTCCCCAGTCAACAACTAATCCCATCTGCCTCTGCCTGAGCATCAGACAGCATGCTGAATATCTTATCTTTCCTCTCCTATTCCTGTCCTGTTACCTATTCTTCACTGTCTTTCCTGCTCCCCCTACTCTATCTCTCAATAGCCCTGATTTTTTTTCAATAAATTACTCTGCCTCTGCCTGAGCATCAGACAGCATGCTGAATATCTTATCTTTCCTCTCCTATTCCTGCCCTGTTACCTATTCTTCACTGTCTTTCCTGCTCCCCCTACTCTATCTCTCAATAGCCCTGATTTTTTTTCAATAAATTACACATGATTAAAGAACATAGGCTACAGACAGACTTCTTTTCCCATCAGTCCACTTGCAGGGTCAGCCTGAGCTTCCTTCCATCCCACGCACTAAAGTGGACAGAATGAAAGTGAAGGGGTCTCCCACATCACAGACAACAAAGAGGAATGCAAAGTAGGTATTAGCCTTTCATGGGACTTAAACAATATTGCAGTTACTTCTCTCTGATCCCTCTATTCCTATTTACCCCCACACATCCTTCCACTTATTATGGTATACAAAACTCTACCCTTCTTTGGCTCTTGAGAGTTTTCAGTCTTCAGTAGTCCACCATTTATATAATGATAACAATTAAATGATTCTCATATTTATTTGCTTATAAAATGCAATAGTTCATAATGCTTAAATAATTTTTTTCATACACTATGTTATTGGGTCATCTACTTAGCAAAGAGGGACAGGTGGAAATGCTAAACAGTCCCTCACCTGGTACTAGTGTTATGTTCTTCAAGTGTTTTTACACAGTGGTCTCACATGATCCTCAGAAAAGAGCCCAGAAGGGCCAATAGGAAAAATAACATTATTCTTATTTTATCAATAAGGAAATGTGACAGATTTTTTTTTAATTCATACTCCATATTGTTCCAAATTTAATGTTACAGAGCTAGTTAGAGCCTGAGCCAGATTCCAAAACCAAATCTTTTTGCCAGACAAAAAGATTTGCATGATTTCAATCTTAGCTGTTTCTCCCATATTATGAATATTAACCAGAATGGTTCTTTCAAGACCAAAATCAATCCTCTCCTTGTACACAGCCCATAATTACTATTGCTGTATCTTCAGATTTGCTGACTCTTGACAGATCAATAGTAATTACCTAATCTGAAGAACAGGAAAAAAAGATGAAATGAACAAAGCCTCAATGACTTGTGCAAACAATGTAACAGATAAGTAATTGGAATCCCAGAATAGTAGGAGAGAGGCAATGAGACAGAAAGGACATTTAAAGAAATAATAGCTACATTTTTCCAAAACTGGGTGAAAAACATAAACTTACAGATCTAAGAAACTCAATGAACTCATGGGAGGATAAGTACAAAGAAAAACACCTAGGCACATAATAGTAAAATTACTGAAATTCAAAGATGAGAAAAATTCAAAATCAGTCCAAAGAAAAGATACATTACATATAAGGGAACACTGGTATAAACGTTGGCTGACTTCTCATCAGAAACAATGGAGAGCTGAAAACAAGTGAATGACACCTTTAAAGCAATGAAAGAAAAAACCTGTCAGCCAAAATGTTATCTCCCAATAGTTACCCTTCAAAAATGAAGGTAACAAAAATATTTTCATATAAATAAAAACAGAGAGAATTCACAACCAGCAGACCTGCACTACAAGAAAAGCCAAAGGAACTTCAGGTTGAAGGGAAACAATACCAGATGGAAACCTATTTACAGGAAGAAATAAAGAGCACCAGATAGAGTAAATACGTGGGTAAAGAAGTACATGTAATGTATACGACAATAACAGCACAAAAAACAAGGAGGTAAGTGGACCAATACTTTTGAAAGATCCTTATTTTTAAGTGAAGTAGTACAGTATTAACATTAATTCAACTATGATAAGATATAGTAATCCTTAGAGAAAGTAATTTTTTTTCAATACAGAAAGGTATAGCTAAAAAGCCAATAGAAAAATTAAAATGAAATGCTAAAAAGAATCCACACCAAACTTCTGAAAACTGAAGACAAAGAAATAAAAGCTCGAACACAGAAAAATAACACCTTATACACTGGGAAAAAAACAAGAATAGCTAAAGGAAGTATGTACTCTAGAGGGAAATAATAAAAAAAAAAACACCTTTGCACTTCACTATAATAGGCAGAATAATGTCCACATCCTAATCCTCAAAACTGACAAATATGTTACTTTACATGGAAAAGGGAAACTAAGGTTGCAGGTAGAATTACGGTTGCTAAACAAGTGACTTTAAGACAGAGATTATCCTAAATTATCTGCATGGGCCCAATGTAATCACAAGGGTCTTTATAAGCAGAAGAGGCAGACAAAAGAGAGTCAGAGTGGGCCGGCCTGTGGCTCACTCGGTAGAGTGCGGTGTTGATAACACCAAGGCCACGGGTTCGGATCCCATATATGGGATGGCCGGTTTGCTCACTGGCTGAGCGTGGTGCTGACAACACCAAGCCAAGGGTTGAGATCCCCTTACTGGTCATCCTTTTAAAAAAAAAAAAAAAAAAAAGAGAGAGTCAGAGTGATGCAACATGAGAAGGACTTGATCCTTTGTTGCTGGCTTTGAAATTACAGAAAGGAGACCATGGGCTAAAGAATGTGGGTGACCCACAGGATAGTAAAAGCAAGGAAATGGATTCTCACTTAAAGCCTCCAGAAAGGAATGCAGCCCAGCCAATACCTTGATGTCAATCCACACAGACACATGTTGAACTTCTGACCTACAGAAGTGTAAAGTAATTAATCTGGGTTGTTTTAAGCCACTCAATTTGTGGTAATTTGTTGCAGCAGCAATAGACAACAAATACAAACAACAAACAGAAAATCAGCAAGGATATAAAACTCAAAGACTCCATAAGCCAAGAGGATCTTGTATTTATATAAATACAACACCCCACCCAACAACAGAATACACATTCTTTTCAAATGCCCATAAAAAATACAAGATAGACTATATCATGGGCCATAAAACATACTTTGACAAATTTAAAAGAATTGGAAGTCATAAAAATTTTGTTTGCCAAACAATGGAACCAAACTAGAAGTCAATAACAGAAAGATAACAGGAAGATCTCTGAATATGTGGAAACTAAAGAACATTCTCCTAAATAATCCATGGTCAAAGGAAAAATATCAAGGGAAATACATTGAACTAAATAAAAAGGAAAATACAACATATCAACATTTGTGGGACACAACTAAAGCCGTGCTGAAAGAAAACGTATAGCACTAAATGTATACTTTAGAAAATTAAAACAGGCTCAAATCAATAATCTAAGCTTCCATCTCAAGAACCTAGTTAAAAAAAAATACCCAAAGTAAATAGAAGGAATAAAGATAAAAGCAGAAATCAATAAAATTGAAAACAAAAAACAATAGAGGAAAAAAAAAATCAATGAAATGAAGAACTGGTTCTTTGAGAAAAATCAATTAAAACTGACAATCCTCCAGCAAGACAGACCAAAAAAAGAGGAGATATAAATTACCAATATCTGAATGAAAACATGAGATATCACTGCAGACTCTGCAGACATCAAAAGGATAATACAACAAACTCTAACACATAAATTTGACAACCTAGACAAAATGAACCAATTCCTTGAAAAACACAAACTACCACACTTGTTCATTATAGATGAATATTTTAATTGGCTCTATAACTATTAGGAAAATTGATAGTAAAAACTCCCCAAAAAAGAAATCTCCAGGCTTTGATAGTTTCACTGGAGAATGCTACTAAAAGTTTAAAGAAGTATTGGCACCAATTCTACACAATCTCTTCCAGAAAACAGAAGTGGAAAAAACATTCCCCAACTCAATAAAAAAAAAACTAATGTTACCCTAATACCAAAACCAGACAAAGACAGTACCAAAAAACAAACAAACAAAAAAAACTACACATGAATATAGACATAAAAATCCTAAATAAAATATTACCAAATAGAATTCAGCAACATGTAAAAAGAATTATACATTATGATCAAGGGGGCTTATTTCATTAATGCAAGGACGGTTCAATATTTGAAAATCAATCAATGTAATTCACCATATTAATAGGCTAAAGAACAAAACATCCTACCAATTAGCACAGAAAAAGAAATTACCAAAATTCAACAACCATTCATGATATAACTCTCAGAATAACAGGAATGGAGAAAAATTTCCTCAACTTAAAATAAAAAATATATATACAAAACACTCTACCGGTAACAATATCCTTAGTGATGAAAGACTGAATGATTTCCCCCTAACAGCAGAAACAAGGAAAGTTTCTGCTGGACATAGTTCTGGAAGTTCCAGCTAGTGCAATAAAGAAAAAAAAGTAAAAGGTATTCTGATCAAAAAGGAATAATGAAACTGTCCCTATTTGCAGATGACATGATTGTCCACACATAAAATCCAAAGTAAACTACAAAAACACTCCTAGACCTACGTGAGTTCAGCAATATCAATGTACAAAAATCAATCATACTTCTATATACTAGCAATGAACACTAAGACACCAAAATTAAAAATATGTAATTTACAATTGCTCAAGAAAAAAAAAATTCAGGTATAAATCTAACAAAACATGTACAGGATGAATAGGCTAAAAACTATACAAGGCTGACGAAAGAAACCAAACATCTTTTTAAAAATGGAGAGACATCCTGTGCTCATGGATTGGAAGACTCACCACAGTGAAGATACCAGTTCTCCCCAAACTGATACACAGGTTTGACAGAATCCCCATCAAAAGCCCAGCAATGAGAAATGGTGTTAGCCAAGACAGCAGACTAGGAAACTCCAGGCCTTTTTTCCCCCACAGAAACACTAAAAAAACTAAAGACTGGCTAAAATAACTTTCTAGAAACTCTGGAAAACAGCCAAAGTTCTACAACAACCAAGCAAACACCTGATCAAGAAAAAGTCACATTTAAAATTGTAGAAAATTTCTTGGCATTTTTACTCACCCTTGCCCCACCCTCTTCTTGGAAGAGCACAGTTGGAAGAAAGCAGCAGTCCAATTGCCAATACTCTCCTCCTCCAAACTGGAGAGAGCAGAGCAGACCTGATATGCAACACTGGATCTCAGGCGGGAGAACCACAGGAAGCAATGGGCTAT